GACTTCTTTGCCAAATCTGAAACTCTGTTTACTATTTTACAGCCCACCGATGGAAAAGTATACGCCTTTTTATAAACCACACTGAAATACATAATCTTTGTTCTGATAATGAATTTTTTTTTTTTTACTATTTTATTTATTTATTTGACAGAGAAAGAGATCACAAGCAGGCAGAGAGAGAGGGGAGGAAGCAGGCTCCCGGCTGAGCAGAGAGCCTGATGTGGGGCTCGATCCCAGGACCCTGGGATCATGACCTGAGCGGAAGAGAGAGGCTTAACCCACTGATCCACCCAGGTGCCCCCTGATAATGAATTCTGAAGTCAAAAGCTACATTTCCTTTTTGCTTCTTAATGTTTCTCCATGAGAATGGGGACAACAGTAACGATCTGCCTAAAACTCTTGAGTGTCCATGGGAAGGGATCCTGTGTTAGGCACATAGAAGCTACTGGACAAGCATGAACTGAAACTGCACACGAGCTGCTTGTCCCAGGAACGTCACCAGTGTGGAACCAAAACAGGAAGGAAAGCACAGACTTAGTGGAATCCTTTTAACTCTCTTCCTCCATTCAAAACCTATGTTGTTCTTCACAGATACAGCAGAATAGCAGGAGTCAGAGATAATCTGGAAGTAGGGCAGTGAGCCCCTCCCCTTTGAGAGTCCACATCGTCTAACAAACCTTCAGTCCAAAAGTACAAAAGAAAGAGGAAGCCAGCCCCGTGGAGCCCCTGGCTGGGGCACCTGAATTATCTTGCGGCAGGTGTAGCCATTCCGAGCCAGAAAGGCCCGGAGAATGAAGAGACAGCACCTCCGGCGGCCATGCCAGGAGCCACTGGGTTTCATCCTGGCCTGACCCAGACAAATCTTATGGACGAGAACAAGAGGCCCAAGGGCTCTCTGATCTGCTGTCAACCAGCTGCAGGCGGGAGACTGCCAGCGCGCTGCACTGACTAGGCAGCGCCCCACGGAGCCGTCTGGGAGGGGATTACCAGCCTGATCCCTGGTCTTCGGAGCCAGAAATGACTCAAACTTCACAAACAGCAGAGGCCTGCCAGCGAGGGTGACAATGAGCACCGGAGAGGGTTTTCTTGCCCTCGATGCTGTCTCCACAGCCCCCCACCCCCCTCAATGCTGTGGCAGATTCTGGACAGTGTGCAGCCTGTGAGGTAATGTGAATTCCTTGGCAACCAACGAGTACCTGAATTCTTTCAAAACCACAGGAATCCAGCAGAGAAAAGGTAAATATCCCTGCGGAGCCAGTGTTAATTAGCAAGGAAGGCTACTGAAGAAGGAACTGGGGGGTGGGGAAGAAGGGAAAGGCATTACAAATGCTTTGGGGTCTTTTCTGAATTCCTGTTGAATAATGCGGCTAAGGCAGAAGAGAGGCAGGGCCTGACGGACCTTCTCACTGCCCTCGCCTCCCACCTTCCAGTGTGGATGGGAGTATCCAGTTCTGTGGATGGGCACCTTTGCTGCCCCCGAGTTGCCAGTGCGACCTACCTTTGGGTGTCTGACAACACACTTGGTTTTCAAGTCAATTTTGACTTTTTATTTTTCCCATTGTAGTGAAAATGTGCCTATTAGCTCTGTCTCAAAAAAGGCCTCATCAAATCGTTTAGACCACATACTGGATCCACTTAAAACTGTAAAATCCAGGACAAAGTCTTTTTGGATCCCACCTCTGACAAGAAAAAGAATCTACACCATTTTGGTAGAGAATGGTATCCCTTTCTGGAAATTGAGTGTCCCCTGCTGGGGCAAAGCAGGAACACACTTGTCAAACTCAAAAACAGGGTGAACCTTTGGGGCAAAAATGCTGGGCCCAAATAACGAGGAACCCAGTTTTTTTTCTAAACATCTCCATAGTTTGCCCATGTATAGGAAAACAATGACAGTTTTTCTGTGTTAATAAAACAACAAAGACAACTGGAAATTATTAATCTAAAAAGAAACTATTTCTGGTCTTTTTCTTAATAAGTTTAAAAAGGTCAAGAATTGACACAAAATATCTAGTTTACAAAACAGTCTTGGGAAATGCACTTAATCTCTATGTCTCCTAAGCATTAATTCGGGGCCCAAAACAGGAGTGACACAGGAGAAGGCCCTTCTTTTCTAAAGAGGAAGCCAATTGAATTTGCTGCCAATGCTTTCTCTTCAGGAAAAATTATGGTTTTCCTTGTTGAGCCTCAAAGTAAAACAGCCTAGTAATCTCATCCCGAACTGATTATCTTCAGCAATGTCTACAGAAAACACACGTGACCCCAAATTACCAGAGGCTGCAGATCTGGAGACGCTACGGACTATTGTTGAATGTAATGACACAGTTGAGCAGATTCTGAGGATTAAAAAGAAGCAGACGAATGCCAAGATACACAGTGAGTTAAGACACAGGAACTCGGGCACATGGAAGTGGCTGTGAACGGCAGCGGAGCCTCGCAGGCCTCACCAATGCCAGGCACAGGCCATACTTCACCATGCTTGTGTGAAGCCTGGAGATGTACCTGTACTTTTACATTAACTGAGCCCAAGCCCTGAACAGTCCTATTATTATTTGGTTCAATTTGGTCTGAGTTTTTTTTTTAAAAACTGTCTTCAGGGGCGCCTGGGTGGCTCAGTGGGTTAAAGCCTCTGCCTTCGGCGCAGCAGGGAGCCTGCTTCCCCCTCTCTCTCTGCCTGCCTCTCTGCCTACTTGTGATCTCTGTCAAATAAATAAATAAAATCTTAAAAAAAAAAAAAAACTCTCTTCCAAATAATTCTGGTGGGGGAAAAAAAGTACACACACGCACCCACACATACACACACTCAGTCCCTGCTGGGGGTGAGGGAAGACAGTTACTCAATTCAGAGGATCTGATTTCCCACACACACCCGGTAGACACAGCACTCGCATATCTGTAGGAAGTTCTATAACCAATGTTGTAGTACTCTCATTTCATATCTGAACCAGTGAGGCCTGAAAGCTACACTCAATTTTATCAAGAGAGAGGGCTACTGATAGCGTGAGTGCAAGGTCTTCGGAATAATATGCAGAAGATGCTGGTACGGCATCCTTGAGAAACAGTGGGTGTAACCTTGAGGTCTTTTCCCTATTCAAGAAGTTCACTTTGTGGCAGGACATAATCAGTTCCTGCAAAAGGCACAGGAGGCAAGATGGGGTGAGGAGGCAGGGAGGAAAGGAGGTGGAGAAGCTCACGCTGGACAAGAGGGTCAGCTCATGTACCTCGACTTAGAAAATGGAAACCCCTCAGCATCTTATACTTCTGAGCAGGAGGAAAGGGTATCTTTTCCCTTCTTTTTGATCTACATAGTATGGGGATTCAGCTTTTAAGCCTTTACTTCAAAGTCTGAGAGCAAGTGTGTCTACAAACAGGACAGAAAACTGTCTGCCTATGAAAAGCTGATTAGAGCTAGGAGGCCTGGTGTGCTCAGATGCCTGGATCAGCCCTTTCCCTAAGAACTGAGAAAGACTTTAGCTTCCCCCTCCTTTCCAAGGAACAAGAGTTTAGAACCACGGAGCTTCAGTAGCCTCCAGTGTTCCTCACACTCAGACTCAGGAATCTTCCATGACCGTGTTTCTGAATGCTGTCGCTGCCACCTAGAGGGGAAGGGGAGGCTCACCTTAAACTGCTACAAGCCGGTTAAAGGCGCTCACCCTGATTATAGTCACAGGATGCATCAAAAACGTGAGTCCATGACAGAATTAAAATAACATTCTAAAATAACAGCTTCCAGGGCACCTGGGTGGCTCAGTGGGTTAAGCCTCTGCCTTCGGCTCGGGTCATGATCTCAGGGTTCTGGGATCGAGTCCCACATCGGGCTCTCTGCTCAGTGGGGAGCCTGCTTCCTCCTCTCTCTCTCTCTTTGCCTGCCTCTCTGCCTACTTATGATCTCTCTCTGTCAAATAAATAAATAAATTCTTAAAAAAAAAAGAAAAAAGAAAAAAAATAACAGCTTTCAGAGGACAATAATTTGTGTCAAAGCACCTAAACTTAGATAGGTAGCCTTCTTTTAACCGTGATATTTCCCATCTTCCAAGTGCATTTTCTAAAATACACAAATACAGACCATACTTTTTAGCCTGCCATGGCTGACTGCAGACGCAAAGTAAGTCCTCAACTGCTGGGTCCTAAAAGGCCACCAAGCAGAAAAGGAACTTCAGGGCAAGCTAGTTAGTAAAGAGATTTATATATTAGTTTTGTAGGGGAAAAGAATACAAGCACAGCAAAATTACATACTTATTCTAAACAATTTAAAAGGCCTATGTCACCGGTAAAATTTTCTGGCTGTGGAAAAAAAACTTCAAATTATTATAACTTGAGTTTAATTTTTTAAGTAAGTCACTTTTGTTATCTTAAAACGTATATACAACCACTGTAAGGAATATTATTTACAGGTAGGGGGAAAAAAAAGCAGCTAATGTCTCCAAAATACAAAAGGGCAACAAGAGGCCATGAAACAGCTCAGGCTATGAGCTCTGGAGTGATATCCACCAGTACAAAGCCCCACTCCACTACCATCCAGCTGGGAGAGCTCTGAAAAGTGACCAAGTTCTCTCCTCACTCCCAGAAGCCTGTTTCCCCAACTGCAAAACTGCATCAACTACAAGGTTGTTGGGAGCACTGAAATAAATGTCTGTTATAGAACAGGTATATCAATATTGGATTTTTTCCTTCCTAGATCGGTTGTGAAGAAAAGTGACAAATTATCTCAGGGTATCTCAGGTATGACCCTAGGGTCATCATAACTACCACCGTGGCCTGAAAACACAAAGTGATCCTGGATCCCTGCTGGGAAAGGTGTGGGTTTTTATAGAGAGGCACGTTCCTATGTGCAGAGATGCAAGGGAGACTGCAAAGTAACATGATTGATGTTCTGCCATCTGAAGCCCATCTGGGTACACTCTCATCTTCTGAGTTGAATGTGACAGAAACAGCCTGATCTTAACACACTTGTTAAATGGAGCCATTTTGATAAACACCCCTTCCCCCCAAAAGTCTCTTACCTAGCCAATCCCTCTTCATAGAGATAGATGACAAGAGGATCATAGGAAGTCACAAGCACGTAGAGGCGCACGTCAAACTTGAAATCTAGAAAAAATTGGGGTTCATAAAGGAATATGAAAGAAAGAATAGTCTTCCTCTCCCCACAAAACACATACTGCCTTCATACCTTGCCCTTTAAGAATAAATCATTATTCATTTCCTACAAATATATATATATATCATACACATCCATTGAGAAAGAGAGCTTACATATACAGACTGTGCAGCTCTCAAGTAGATGTACTACAAAGCACTTTTTCTTTTCTATTCTCTCATTTCACCTTCAAAATAATCCTATGAGGTAGGTAGGGCACCAGCCTCATCTCTGGAGCCACAGCTGCCAAGAATTATACCAGCTTCATAAAGACTTACTAGAGAAGACTGTGAAAATATTCTTTAAAATTAGCAAGATCAAGCCCGTCAAGGGCCCAATCTCAACTCACCGTCTATGAGCAGGGGGTTGTTAATGTAACGGGAGACCAGGATGTTCTCCTCCAGGGAAATCTGGTTCGGCTATTGAGTAAAGAGAAAGAATAAAAGGACAGAAATCCTAACTCACAATGAGGGAGCAGAGTTCTCGACCTTTCAGAAACAATAAAGCAGAAAACTACAATTCTTAAGAAAAGTTTTCTTCCAACCTACCCCTACATTCAACTGGTCAGGTAACACAAGACTTATAAACACTATGGGTATCCAATTACAGTGAGGGAAAAATAAATTTACATACCACTTCTCACATAATAAAGAGAGCAATAACAGCTTTAAAGATTTATATACATGGTATTAAAAAGTTACATGCCAAGAAAACAAAAGCTACTTAAAAAATAAATAAAAACGTGCTTTCTCCAAAATGTAAGGTGTGATGGAAATTTTAAAATATTACCATTATTCTTAAGCAAAGGCTTTCATCAAGTTGTTTAGAGAACTTACAGATCTTTTCCCAATGGATCCTGGCATTTTCCTCGAGAAACAGGACAGATGTTTCATTGATTCATTCAGTTGTATTTCCTATGCTACTTTATAAAGCCTGAACTAGATCTTAAAGAGTTTTTCAATGAAAAAAGAGTTGTTATACGATAAAGAATCATGAGGACTGATTGATACTCATAAGGCACTGAGGATCCAGTGAAGACAGAGAGACTCCCTGCCCTCAGAGACCCTAATCCATCCTTCCAAAGGGTTTAATATTTAGGTAAGGGGACAGTAAAATGTACAAGTTAAAAGAACACAAAGCAGCATAGTTACAAGCGCAAGACATGGGACTGCACAGTACAAGCACTGCCCAGTTTCGTGAATCAGTGAAGGAAGGTCTATTCTGGAAGAGTAGGTGCAGAAGCGAGTGTTGAAAGCTACTAGCACATGGTGGAAAGGAAAGGAAGCTGCCACGGAAAGGTGGCAGGAACAAAGTTTAGTAGAAAAGAGAGGACGCAGACCACTGACCTGGGGCTAAAAGACCGACCTGAGGAATAATGAAAGGTCTGGTTAGCATATCAGGAGTGAGGGGACACCACCAGCAAAGGGATTTGAACCCCCAACAAAGGAAGTTTAGCCTGAACATGGTGGGAAGGAGGAAACGATTGTGGATTCTTAATAGTAAGATTAAAATACATGGAATAGCACAACTCTTAGTGAGATTAGATGAAGAGAGAAAAGTCAGCTGGAAGCCACCACAATCTATACAGGACAAAAGGACTGGAAAAGGGAAGTGGCTATATTCATAATTGTAATGATAATGGCTGCAGTAGAAGCAACAGAAGTAACTATTAACATTTGCACGAAAAGAAATGTAATAAATGCACAGAACATTTGCTACACGTCCAGCTCTGTTCTAAATCTTCACAAATATTATTTCCTACAGTCCTCACCCAACCCTCTGAGGTAGGTATATCACCATTCGAATATTACAGATGAGGAAAGAGTCAGAGAGGGTGACAAAGTCACATGGTGACAGAGGAGCACTGGAACCCAGCCAGTCTGCCTCAGAGACTTAACTCTTAGAGTACGATTAACATCTTTCCCCAAAGTTCTGACCTGACATACTAACCCCCAAATTCAAAAGACGGTCTTTATAATAATGCATTTGCTACCCCCAAATACTACAGTTACCATGAAATAAGGATAATTTTGTGGCCTGTAACATCATACACAACCACGATGAGCAACCCCAGAGTTAAGATAAAGAGATTCCCCACTCATCTCCCACTGTTGCATCACACGGACCCGGCGACGGTCAGTGCTGATTCAGACTCATGGACCTGATCGCCCACACCATTTCCGGACTCCCTTACATTTCTTGATCACTTTCTCACAAGCACTATCTCCATTTTAAGTCAGCTTAGTATGTAAGAAGTGATGAATCATAGTACAAAGGAGCAAGCCTCAGGCTGTGTTCCAAACCTAAAATTAAACAAATGCAGACCTCTTCCCACTGAGTAACACCTATAGGCTTCGGCAGATACGTGACCATCCAACTTTCCTCGGAACCAGAGACTACACTGGCGATGGCCATCACTCCATGACACATCTAATGTCCTTGCCCACTTCCTCCCTCCCCTCCCTCATCACACACATGTATCCCTTGAGTTATGCATTATCTCGTACATTATTTAACTTTAATATTTGTTCAGTGGTCTGAGCCTCTCATTTCTACCTACATCAGGAGTTAAATTGTAGTTCATCAAAGAAAAAAATAGTTTGGGTATAGTTTCTTTGTATAATGTTACATACTAAGAAGCAACTAATGAAAGCTTTTTGGTATTTTCAAGCCTGTTTCCTTTTCATCATTCCCCAACTAACTAACTCATTTCAAATGATTTCAATTCCAAGCTCAAATTGCCCTCTAAAGCATGCTAAAGCAAGATCTAAATTGTTGGGAAAGCTGGAAACATATCCATTTTTCTAACTGGACTTTGAGATTAAAGCTCATGGTATCTGTTAAGTTATTGTAAGGCAGAATGGTACAGTGGTTAAGAGTGTTATGCTCTGGAATCAGCTAGACCTGAGTTATAATCTTGACTCTACCACTTACTAAGGAAATAACAGTAACTACCTAGGGTTCTTCTAAAGACTAACTGAGTTTATATTTGGAAGGTACCATGACAGGCACACATTAAATGCTCAAGACCTACCAGTGTAAAGTCAATAGTAACTCTATGGTTCCACTAAGTTCTGTAACTCAACAGCCTTCATCACGGCGCACAACGTGCCATTCCACTCAGAGCTGCGCACTAAGTCATAATGAAGACACATTAGCTTAGTATCAGTGTTAGTATTAAGAGATAATCCCTATTCCTCAAAAGGTTTTAAGGAGTGGCAGCACCTGGCACAGGACTCCCTAAATAGTTCTTGAACCATGATAAAAAATAGAGAGCACTTTAGATGACAACATATAAACAAATAGAAACAAATGGAAAGAGCACTATAAAGAATTATATTCACAAATATAGGAAGCAAATAGAGTGACCTATTCTCCTGCTACTTCAAAATCTCAAAGAAAACATTAATGTTGTATTTACTGTGGCTAATGTGTGAGAAGAGGATGACGAAATTTGACCTCCATAATCAAATTTGTACCTTAATCAGAAAATGCCAGATCTTTCCCTCCTTAACTTGAATATACTAAATTGGGAAAATATGGCATTTAGTCATGGTTACTGAGGGAGCTGGGGCAAACGCAACTGTGCTCCTCTGTGCTGTATTTCTAGAGGTAAAGAGCACATCTTAAGAAGCCATGCATGTTAGCTGAGAGGCCAAGGTACTTCCGTCTGTAAGAGCTCACGCTTCTCCCTTTGGTCTTTCATAAAAGTAACGCCTTTTCTATCCTTTATCCTGTTCTTGTAATGGTAAAAGTTGCTATTTGTAGACATTTTCCAGGAGGTTATGACTATAATTGGGAATTTTCAATAAGAGGCCCTCTCCAGTGGTAAAGACAAGGAAAGATGTTTTCATTTGGCCTTCACACCTAACTCCACCCCCCCCCCCCAAGTCCCTCACCCACTCCCGTTAGTTCTGTTCACAGACCCTCCGCCTGAGCACTCCCACCCCCCCCCACCAAATCTAAAAGGAAAGCAGGCAGCAGCCTTGGAAAGAGTTACTTCATCCAGTTGGCTAATGGGTCACATATTCCATGGGAAAGGATCCAGGTATGGAAAAGACAGGATGGTGAGGCCTTGTGTATAAGGAGAGAGAGAAGAGTATTAACTACATGGTTTGTAGGTCTGAGTAAAAGGTGATAAAATTCCAGTTTTTGGAGTGAAACGGGAATATTTTCCCATTATGTCCACATGTTGCCAGCTCCCCTGGTGCCTGCTGGCATCTTCCCAGGCTTCTGTCTGGCACCTTCACCAAATACCTCAAAGAATCAGACTCATTCCAAAGCTTCACTGAGGGGGAGGAGGGAGGCAAAGGGTCCTGCCAAGTACTTTGATCTATGCAGGGGGTCTCTAGGGATTCAGCCCAGGGAGAAGTGGGAGGGAGAAGGAAAGCCTGCCAAACACATTCTCTAAAGACTTGTCACCCTCTATGAGACTCCATCCAGGGAAGAGTTAGGGCACCGGGTTCTCAGCCCCACCAAGTAAAGTTTAACTTTTCTATTCTTTATAATGTTGGTTTCAAAATAACAAATCACTAGAGCAAAAGTGCATTCCAAAAGAAAAACGTCCCAGATGAGCTGGAAATAGATCCTATTCCTTTTGACTCATGTCTAAGAAAATAAAAAGCAAACTTGTACCACAGTTGACTTTCAATAGCAATTCCATTTGGCAGCTAAAACCCAAACCCAAACGAGTGCCGTCTATGAGATTCAAACAACACTGGAGCTCCTGGCACGGAGCTGAAGGAAAAGCTGTCAGACAGGAGCCTTCATGCCAAGGTCAGAACAGAAACAAGAAAAGAGAGCTCCAAGCCATATGACCAGGGCCTCCTGTCACAAGAGACTCAGGGGCAAAAGGCCTCCAGAGGGACTGACCCAGGGCCAGGTAACAGGACTTATAGCCTAGGCCTCAGGCTGGAGTAGCTCCTGTACCAGAACGAGGCCCAGTAAGGTCCGGCCATCAGTAGTCACCAAATAGTTTTCAGTCCAGACTGAATGTAAGGATTTTTCGATGTGAAAGACCTCTCAGAAAGTTAGTTTGTGCACATGTAGGAAGTAGCTCGGACTACATAAAAAGAAAATTGGGGAATTTGAAAACAGAGTACTTGACCACACACACACACATATCTACCTCCCCTTCTTCCCTTCCAGAGTCCCACTGGAAGGACAGAGAAGATATTTTTAAAAGAACGAAATGATAACAAAGTTAGAAAACATTTAAAGGAGCCAGTAAGAGACCAAAAGTTGAAGGAAACCCTCAGAGACAGAAAGCAGATGGGATCAGGTTGAGAAAACAGAGCAAAGGAAGCAAAATACCAGAGGTGAGAATGATCTTCTCAAGGAGCCTCTGAGAAGCTCCAAGCTGGCAGGAAACAAACATGAGGAGCAGGAATGGGCCAAGGAACGAAAATCAGATAATTAATTCTTAATTCATTCAGGGGGCTTCCTCCAACACCCAGAGCTTTGCCCTCAGGATAAAACCTAATGATAATACTCTGAGGAGGACATCTTGTGTAGGCAGAGGGATTTGACAGAAGAGTGGAATTTGAGGCCGCTCTATCCCTACAACAGACACAGAGAGGAAAAGACAGGAAAGATAGTGCTGCCCAGAAGGGAAATCACCAGAATCTTCCTCTGTAATTCACAGTTAGGCCTGTTCTGTTTTGGTAGGGGGCAGCAGGAAGAAGCATGCTCCTCACTCACACCCACCTGAGGCACGGCCTGTCAGTCAACACCGTTTGTCCTTGCACCAAACTGAGTTCGCCTTCTGTCCAGGGAGAAACTTTGCAGGGAATCAGTCCTAAACAAGAGTACCCAAAACTGGGGCCAGCTGTCAGTTTCAGTCAGTCTAGTCTTTAAGTTCATAAATACACCCAAGGTCACTGACACTGAGAAAACCCAACAGCAGGGGGTAAAAAAAGACAATCCCAAGAAAAATCATGAAACAAAAGAGAACTTTCAAAAAACTTTCAACTGATATCCTCACTAAGGCCAGTAGGCGAACCGCACCCATTAATCCATTAAGCAACAACAGGCTTTTTTTAATTAAAAAAAAAAAAAAGGCAAACAGAAAGTAAGGATTTCTATAAAATATGATAGCCAACAGAGAAATATAGTAGATAAAATGAATACTAAAATGGATAAAGTCCAAACTGGTGATCCAGAAAGATCAATATGGGGAAAAACAGAATTTAATACCAGAGGAAAGTTGACATAAAGGAAAGACCCAGGATGCCTCAAAAATGAGGTCTAGAAGCAGAAACAAAGGCAAAAGAAAAAAGGATAATTTTCCCTAAACCAAAGAAAAACACTAGTTTCCAGACTAAAAGGGCTGACCAAATGTCCAGGAGTAAAAATGAGGAAAGACCCAGAGTGAAATACTGATTCAATTTCAGGATTCCAGGGGTGTCTGGCTGGCTCAGTGGGAGAAGCATATGACTCCCGGTCTTGGGATTGTGAGTTCAAGCCCCACGTTGGGTGTAGAGATTACTTAAACAAATAAAACTTAGAAAATTTTTTTCAGAATTCCAATGCTGTGAGGTTACTATTGAGTTTAATTCTTTTTACTCAACTTATAGATAAAGCAGAGAAATGGAATCACAGTTACTGAAGATAGTATAATTGTATAAACTTTCAAAATATAAAAACAATAAAGAACAGGAGTGTGGAAGGGAGGGCAGGAGGTTATGTGAATACAATACACATCAAACTGGGACTTAACAAACACAACGTAAAGCCAAGAAAAGAAACATAAAATCAACTCCATTAGGTTATAAACTACTGTTAAAAGTCTTCTAGGAAGTGAGCCTGGGGTTGAGATTTTACTTTATTTATTCTGTATTTGTTCAACTTACAAACCACTTTTAATAAGGATTTTGCAAAGAATCAAGATACTGACAAGTTTTGAAAAAAAGAAGAGGATGAGGAGGAGGGAGGGAGATGCAGAAACAGCATCAAGGATGCCATACCAAACTGAGGTTAATTTCCTCAATGATCTCGAGGGCAGGAACCCACAATTCTCACACTAAGAAACTAAATGTATATGCTACCAATTAATGCTTGGTACTGAGGAATTAATATGACAATATGCTTCAGGTAGAAAAGGAACCTCTTTTCTGCGGACACCAAAGGCTTCTCTTCCCTAACATTTGATCAACTGACTTTTTAGCCACGGAGTAACTGCTGGAACAGGAAGAGGTTACTGCTTAGGTAAGGGGACTAGTAGCCAACTCATACCCACCCTCGACTCACACGTCTGAATGCAGATTTCAGAAGGGAGCACCTACTCTTAATTGAAAAAAAAAGAAAATCATATTAGTAGCTAAGACAAAGGGTGAAACAAGAAAAAACTAGTAAGAAGATAGGGTAAGGGGGAGCCTGGCTGGCTCGGCCGGTGAAGCATGTGACTCCTGATCTTGGGATCATGAGTTCAAGCCCCACATGGGGTATAAAACTTACTTAAAAAAAAAAAAGAAGAAGAAGAAGAAAGAAATAGAAGAGGAAGAAGAGAGGGTGCCACCTGCTGCATACTTACATTGTTGATCAGGTAGACGCCCCGCCCCCTAGAAGAGGCCACTGGTTTTACTATCCAAGGTCCCCGGTCCTTTGAATATGAATCTGCTCAAAATATTGGGAGATCAAAAGAGGGACAGAGAGAAACAGAGAGAAAGAAAGGACAAGAGTTTATTATTTTAAATTTCAACAATGGTTTATCCACTCAGACACCCAAAGAAGTTTCCATATTTCTAAGTGGAGGGCGGCCAGGCTAAAATACCTATATTTTTGAACTGGCTTCAAACATCAACACAAAAACAGAGAGGGGAAGGAAAGGAAGAAGGAGGAGGCAGCAAAACTACACATCACTTCCACCATTCCCCCTCCTTCTTGAATGAGAGGATGAAAACAAAGTAAGGCAGCTCTCTCATACTGGTCTATGACTATCACGAATGGCCTACGGGAATCTGAGGTTCTCGCCTCCGTCAACCCAAGGACCTCCGGAGGCTCCCACTGCAGACAGTGCCACTGGGGGTCAAACACTAGATCACCTGAAATGATAGCATTCCTTAAGTGATTTCTCTTGGCTTGGATGAAAAAAATCGCTGTCAGTCAAACTGTGTGCAAGTGGTGCAAGAGGACATTAATTTACAAGTGATCGAAAGGTGCCCTTTACTTTTTTTTGTACAATACAGTGATTCAACATCTATATACATAATGAAACAGCACAATGAGCATAGTTACCATCTGTCCCCACAGACAGTTACTACGATACTGACTGCCTTCCCTACGCAGTACTTTTCATGTCCGTGACTCATTTATTTCATAACCGGAAGCTTGTACCTCTTAATCCCCTTCACCCGTTTCACCCTTCCCCCCCGCCCACAGCCTCCCCTCTGACAACCACCAGCGTGTTCTCTGTATTGAGGAGTCTTCTCATTTTTGTTTATCTATCTGTCTTGTTTTTTAATATTCCACATATAAGTGAAATCATACAGTGTTTGTCTTTCTCTGACGTATTTCATTCAGTGTAATACCGTCTAGGTCCACCCATGTTGTCATGAATGGCAAGATTTCATTCTTTTTATGGCTGAGTCATATTCCATCGTGTATATATACCACACCTTTATCCATCGTCTATCAATAGACAGTGAGGTTGCTTCCAGAATTTGGCTGTTGTAAATAATGCAGCAATAAGCACAGAACTTTTTGAATTAGTGTTTTCATCTTTTTCCTGTAAATACCGAGAGCTGGAATTGCTGGGTCATATGCTATTCCTATTTTTATTTTTTCAAGAACCTCCACACTGTTTTCCATAGTGGCTGCACCAATTTACTTTCCTACCAACAGTACACAAGGGGCTCCCTTTTCTCTACAGCCTCGCCAATACTTGTCATTTCCTGTCTTTTTGATACTAGACATTCTGCCAGGTGTGAGGCGACACCTCATTGGGGTTCGCGTTTGCGTTTCCCTGATGAGTGACGCGGAGCCTCCTTCCACATGTCTGTTCTTGATTTAACCCTCTCCTGTCTCCTCTGGGACCCATTCCCTTGTTCATATCTTCAAGCTCACTCTCCTCTCTGGGGTGCTTCTTCTCTTTTTCTCTAATAATCACCTCCTCTTCCATCCCTGCAACTTCCAGGATCTATTACCTTTGGCCAGAACTCAACTCTGGCTTTACAGCTGCCAGCAAATCACCCCAGGGAAACCTGTAGGCCTCTCAAATCCGTACCCGGACCCAAATTTCACACTCTTCATCCCTTTTAATAGCTCTTCCTTTACAGCCCTGGTTACGCTCCCTGGTGAAAGACGTGCTGAGGCTCCTGGCTTCTCACAGTCACCCCTCTGCAGCCATCTTTGGCCCTTGCCTCACTACTCACAGACAGTTGGTTCACTTTACTCTACCACTCTTTCTGCTCCCTCTCTTCTACTCCAGCTACCTAGCTCAATCCAACTACGCTTCTTGTCTGGATTACCTTCGTAACCTCCAAGTCATCACCATGTTCTTCCCCTCGCGCCCTCCGATTCATTTCACAGTTATTTTTCTAAAGGCTAATCTGTTTGTGCCTCTTTCCTTCTCGAAACTCTCCTAGTGCCCACACTCAAGTGAGCTGCAGAGGGACAGGAACACAAAAATCATGGAGAAAATGGAAATTTCTGGGTTACAATATGCTAAGGGGACACGACATCAAAGGAAGAGAAGAACTTAAGACAGACTTCGTGAAGAAGAGGAACGTCTCTTTGAAAGAGGAAGTGGTACCAGTAGGTGGGTTTCTCCCCTAAGACGTAACCTTAGCAACACAACTAACCTTACAGTGTTGGATCCTTTCCCCACCGCCAAATGAATTTTAGCATAGAGGTCATAGATTCTAGACAACTGGTAAAGAATCACTGGCATCCTGGCAAGACTGAAACCAAGAAGACCCTTCTACTATCACGTTGTCCCTGTTCCCCTTTCCCACAAACACAGTGAGTCCCTGCTGTGGTGTTTGGTGATAACGTCAGTAAGTGATTTGTTTGGGGGACTGAGGAACACCATTTGCCTACAGTAACTGCCCTGGGGCTAAGCGTGGTGGCTTTGAGTTATGGCTATATTAATTCCATGTGTTCTGCTGACCTTTTAAATTCATTTTTGTTAAAAAGTAGCATGCACACAAGTTTGAATAATACACTAAAGAAGCAATCCTACTAAAAGACAGGTCATGCTTGAACTGATGGAGGAACCCTAAGTCTATCCAGTCATCTGAAGGAACACCCCCACCCCCCCAACCTGCCTCCAAAGGGTAAACAGAAAAATAAGAAATAGCAGAGAGAGGACAAAGGGAATTTTCATCTCAGATTCCTGTAGACTTCAACAGGGAATTACTGTAGAAGTTAACAGGAGGAGTTCACATCTGGGACATGCTGCTAACACATTAACTGAAGTATTTTTATGCTATCGTGTTGGGCTTATTGCATAATTTTTTACCTTTACTACATAACGATATATCTCAACATAACTCGAAATAAGGAGTAATACTGAACATTTATTAAGCACCTATTGGGTACCATTCCAAGTGCCTTCCATGTATTAACCTACTTAAACATCGCAACAATACTATGAGGTCAGTACTAGTAATAATCCCATTTTGCAGAGGAGGCAGCTAAGACACAGTGTTTTAAGTAATGTGGCTAAAGTCACATAACAAAAATTCTTAACTGTAAGTTTTCAGCTTTGCATCCACTGTCATTTTGAACTTGATTCATTTAATTACTAGTCTCTTCTGAGCCATTTCAGAGCCTTCTGCGGGCAAACACTGAACATATCTAATGTTAATGGTCCCCGCTTGAACAAGGAGTGCTATCAGAGAAATGGCCTCACCGACGTGAAGCGGGAGATCCCAATGACGGAAATCCCAGAGGACGAACACCCCCACTGGGCAACCAGATCAGACTGTTATGTCCGACAAGTTAAGAAAATCACAAGTCAGGAAGTCTAGAGAGAACTTTCTCTTCCTCTCTCTGTGCTTCCTAAGACAGGCCTAGTCTCTCTCCTGGACGTACTGAGAAGAAAGGGATCTATGTGTCTGTCCTTAGACCCTTCTCACGGAAGAGGCCTCTCTCACTGGTGGTACTGGGAAATTGACATGTGTACACACAGCCCCGGGTCCTCAAGCAGTAAGGCCTGGTGGTGAAGAACACGGTCTCTGAAGCCGAACCAGAGTCTGAACCACCGTTGGCAAACTACACAACTTACGGAAAGCTCCTGACCTCTCAGTACATTTGTCTCTTCATCTGTAAAACTGCGAAAAACAATGGTACCTACCTCAGAGTAGAAATGCCGCTCAGAAGAGGGCCTAATAGAAACAAGATGTTCGTTCCACGTTAGCTTCTATTATTGTTACTTTTCAGACTCTCACAATAGACCTGCCTCCCACCTTCTCTGTGCTCACACCTCTTCCATGCACCAGGCCTCCTGACTCGGGCTCTGCCCCCAGAGAGGAAAGTCTGAAATAGCCCATTTCGTCTACTTGGACCTGAGGAAGATAGCTGACTTCAAGGCAAAAGGAATTGGAAGGCCCCATTGAGACTGGGAAGCAAGCCACATGCTCCTAGCGAGCTTTACAGGCAAGAAAGTGGACATTTAGATCCCTATTGGGCTAACACCTGTCAGGGTACTCCAACCAGAGTGTGACTAAAGGGTACCTCTAAACCCTCACACTAAACAATGCGTGATACTTGTACCTCATAAGTCATACAAGTCGAGAAATCAAGGGGATAGGAATATTCCTTAAATGGCAAGAAAAAGCAGACAACAAAAAGGAAGCATATATAGTTCAAAGGCAGAAGTATATACACCCTTCCATAGGCACTGACTCTTGCTGGTGAAGAAATGCTCTGTACCAGACAGGGGCACAGGTGTGACACCCATGTATCCTTCTAGAAATGAGAGCAACAGGCTTCCTAAAAATAAACATACAGGGACACAACCACAACGAAAACGGTTTTAAAGTCATCCCTCCAGCTGTTTTACTAAAGAGACACACTGTTTTAAGGATTTGAAAAGCCCTAAGTAGTTACTAACTCAAGGTGGCCCTTGGGGTAAGTCTGCCCCGAGCTCAGTTGCGGGGGTGAGGTGGTGGGGGAGGAAGGGGGCATTCACAGACAAGCACTTACTGCAGAATTCCGCATACTCGGCTGGCAGAAGGAAGGTCTGAGGGAGGATGTGAAAAGCCTTGAATCCGTGTGTGTGCTGCATTCGAATGATGTTTTTGTAGAGTCGGTCTTTCCGGGTTAGTTCATAGGACCTAAAAATCATAAAAGTTTTCCATTTCAGTAAAGTCTGACTCCGAGGCCTTCCTGTGTTACCACATACTACAGAGTTCGTAGTTCAGAGCTGGAACGGGTACCAAGGACAGTATTACATGAGATCGACCACTCCGTCAACCCCAAAGTTTAGTAATCATTTTCATGAACTGGATTTTTTTGTTCAGATTTATTCACTGAGGTATAACTGACCTACAGTAAGATTTGCCCTTTTTAGTATATAATTCTATGAGTTTGAACAAACATATACAATTATTTAATCGCTACTATGAATGGTTCTAGCATCCCAAGAAGTTACCTCCGGTCCCTTAGGAGCCAATCCTTCTGCCACTATTAAATAGTCATCTGTTTCCTGTCCCTTAGTTTTGCCTCTTCCAGAAGGTCAAGTTCATGGAATCATATGTATGTGTCCTTTTGAGACTGGCTCCTTTCCCCGAGACTGACAACGACTGAGATTCATCCCCGCTGTTGCCTGCATAAGGATCTCACTCCTTTTTAGGGCTCAGGAGTAATTCATTGCTCAGAAAGACTGCAGTTTGCTTATTCATTTGCCAGTAGATGGACATATAAGCTCTTTTCAGTTTTTGAAGATTATGAATAAAATCACTAAAAGCATTACGCACAGACTTTTGTAAGAATGTAAGTTTTTGTATGGACATAAATTCCAATCTCTCCAGGAATGAGACTGCCAAGTTCAGTAAAATTGTTTAGTAAATTCTATTAGTTATCTATTGTTGCATTATAAATTATTGCCACAACATTATAGCTCAAAACAATGATAAACATTTTCTATTGGTTTCTGTGGGTTAGGAGTGTTGGGGTAGCAGGCCTGGGTAGTTCTATCCAAGGGTCTCTCATGAGGCTACAGTCAAGACACTGACCAGAGCTGCGGTCATGAGGCTTGACTGGGACTGAAGGACCCACGTGACAAATAGCTCTCTCACCTGGGGCTGGTCATTGACAAGAAGCCTCAGTCCCTTCCCATGTGAATTCTTCTGTAAGGCTTGTCTTTGTAACATGACAGCTGGTTTCTCCCAGATCAGGTGATTCAAGAGGGAAAGGGAACAAGGAAGAAGCTGCAATGTCTTTAATGACAGCCTCAGAAGCAATAGGCTGTCACTTCTGCCATATTCTATCCATTAGAAGGCACAAAGGCTGGCTTACACCCAAGAACAGAGAAATTAAGCTCAACTTTTTGAAGGCCATGTCAAGGAATTTGTGGACATGTTTTAGAACTAACACATGTATGAGTATACATTTAACTTTCTAAGCAACTATGACCCAAAGCGGCTGTACCGTTTTGCATTTCCCACTGGCAAAGTTTCCGCCTTCCATTGCACTGAGTCCTGATCGGCACTTGGTGTTGTCTGTTTTTACTGTTTTGTTTTCAGCCGTTCCAACAGGTAGGCAGAAGTACCTCAAGTGGTTTTAATTCCACTAGTGACTACTGATGTGGAACGTCCTTTCACATCTATCTTCTTCAGTGAAGCATCTGTTCAAATATCTTTAGCCCATTTTGCAAAAAGGAGGGCTGTTTATTATTGAGTTTTGAGAGTTCACTATACACTATGGATACAAATTCCTTATCAGATACGTGTTCTGCAAATATCTTCTCCCAGTCTGTGGCTTATCTTTTCATTTTCTTAACAATGTCTTTCAAAGAGCAGACATTTTAAATCTGGAGGAAATCCAATTTATCCATGTCTTTCTCCTATGGACTGTGCATTTACTGTTATGTCTAAGAAATCTTTATGATTTAAATCCAAGCACATGAAGATTTTCTCCTATGTTTTCTTCTAGAATTTTTTTAGTTTTAGAATCAGATTTAAATCCGATTCTTTTTGCCAAGTGGGTCTTATGAGTATAAAATCTGTTCTAAAACAGAATTCAAATATAAAGAAGCAAAAAAGACTGTTTTAAGCAAAAAAGACTGTTTCTAAGTTTGACTTTTGATAAATATATTCAAATTTTCAAGGTCCACAAACCAAATACATCAAATAAATTCTAGCTTCATTAGCAGCCTGTGACTATTCACTACTAAAAATAATTATGAAACATTTAGGAACACTACATGTTGTATGTTCACTGAATCACAATTCTTTAGTAGTAGAAAAAAAAAATCTAGATTACCCAAATAATGAAAAAATACTAGTACCCCAACTAACAAGTTCTAAACCCAAAGCATTCTGGAAATTTTTACAAAGATATCTAGAGGATTTGACCTTCTGAGAAACATGGCCTGGGCAAAGGTTGGCATACTTGAAAATAGTACCATTCAGGAAAATAAAAGATATGGCTACCTTACCCATATTTAACAGCAATAATTGTCCAACCTTTGCTATAACTACACGGAACTTGCATCATCATTAGTAAAACAAGAATCAAGGGTCTGATATGTTTCTCCTACATAGCGTCCAAGATAGACCTTAATTTTAAACTACAGTGGGCCTACTGGAGTAAAGTCTCAGATCACTACTTTAAGAATCCCACTGACAGGTGCCTGGGTGGCTCAGTTGGCTGGGCAGCTGCCTTCGGCTCAGGTCATGATCCTGGAGTCCTGGGATCGGGTCCCGTGTCGGGCTCCCAGCTCCTCAGGGAGTCTGCTTCTCCCTCTGACCTTCTCCCTTCTCATGTTCTCTCTCACGGTCTCTCTCTCACATAAATAAAATCTTAAAAAAAAAAAAAAAAAAAAGGATCCCACTGACAACCAAATTTACATCCTTAGAAGATGGATATGTAAAAGATAAAATGTTAAAGAAAAGCAGAAAATGACCCCTATAAACTTCAAGCAGCAAATGCCACCTATCAGTGAGTACGTTCTGGAGTTCTACAGCAGCTACTTCAGTTGGCCTCAGCTGGACTCATGAGCTCCACTACCGGCTTCCAGTCACGGTTTCTTCTACTAATTAAAAACCATCTAAGAATCTTTGCTGTAACCACTAAAAACTTACTGTGCCTCTTCCTCCATTCTAATTTTTCACTATGATTTCTAAAATTCAAAGGTAGCTTTGACAAGTCTAGGTATCACAAACCCACTGTCCTCTTCATAAATGCAGAGAAGAGGTCCTTAAATTTCAGGTAAGAATCACCTAGAAAGTGAATTACTAAATTCTGTAACTAGTGAATTACTAAAATTACCATTCCTGGCCCCCAGCTCTCACAATTCTGGAATAAAGCCAAGGATTCTGCATTTTATACAAGTGTCCCAGGTGATTTTGGTACAGATGGTCCACACTATAATGCTGATTTAGTCTGGAATAGTAATTCCTAAAACTTCCCAGATATAGATCACCCTAGTGCTTTTTAAATATATAGCTTTCTAGGTATATATTTACCTGGGAAGATTAAGCACCTAGAAGGCATTTATTTATTTATTTATTTATTTATTTATTTTATTCTGTTCAGTTAGCCAACATATAGTACATCATTAGCCTTTGATGTAGAGATCAATGATTCATTCACTGTGTATAACACCCAATGCTAGTCACAACATGTGGCCTCCTTGATATTCATCACCCAGAAGAAGGTACTTTTTAAATATACACCTTCCCTGGATATGGTGAGTCCCCGAATCTGCAATGGGATCTATGATTATATATTTTTGTGTGTGTGTGATTGTCTATTTTTAAAAAGGATCCTTAGTGATGTTTATCATCAGTTAGAAATAATGAGGAGAGGACAAGAAAAAGGAATACATTTCCTATAGATGCCCAATCCTAGTGGTCTCCAAATCCTTCTGCTTAATGCCCCCTATAAAAATTTTGGGAAACTATGTATCCTTTAGTTGACATCTAAGATTCTTCATCAAAAACTTAAATAGGGGTATCTGGGAAGCTCAGTCAGTTAAGCATCTGCCTTCAGCTCAGGTCATGATTCCAGGGTCCTGGGACCAAGTCCCACACTGAGCTCCTCCCTCTCCCTCTGATACTTCCCCAGCTTGTGCACTCTCTTGCTCACTCTCTCTTTCAAATAAGTAAAATCTTAAAAAAAAAAAAAAAACCAAAAAAAAAAACAACTTAAATTGTCCCAAATGAGCCAATGAATGATAAATATTATTTTAAAATAAAACCCTAATACTACCCTTTTCAGTATATTCAAGGGAACCTAAATAACATCAGGATTCAACAGCTACCATACCTTTTAAAAATATTATCAAAGAGAAAGCTCTTTTCTGTCAGTACATTTTTCACTTTTTAAAATACACTTCTTACTGGAGGTAATATATATGCAGAAAAGTCTACAAATCACAAATGCAAAGCATGATGAATTTTGGTCACCTGTGTGAGCACCCCCAGAAGCCTCCTTCATCCTCCCACCCAGGAATTATCCCCCAATCACTCTTGCTTTTAATTCTCCTATGCCATTTCCCCCAGAGAATGGCTTAGCCTCACAGAACATATTAATGCTTGCAGATCTTTTATATCATAGCATACCTTCTCTACAATAAAATATGCATGTGAATTAATATGCATTATTTTCAAATTCCCTGTAATCATTCGGCTACAAACCACTTACACTAAATTGACTCTCCCTGCAACTACTGTAGTACACGATTCATCAAAACACCATAAATATTATAAATTTTGATTAAAATGCATATTATACCAATGTTTGGGTCTCCATTTTGATAATTATACCACAGTTGTAACTGATGTTAATGTTGGAAGAACAAGGTAAAGCATACTGAGTAACTATATTTTTGCAACTTCTCTAGAAGTCTAAAATTACTTAAAAAGTTAAAAAACTGTATTAAGAAAGAGTTGACAATAACATTAGAAACATTTTAGTGCTCGAATTCCTCTTGCATATGAGTTCAAGCCTTTGGATTGAAAACATGAGAAACAGAGCAGCAGAAGCCACAAAGGACATTGCATTTAGATAATGGATTATATATTTTTTATTATTAAAGATTTTGTTTATTTATTTGACAGAGAGAGAGAGATCACCAGTAGGCAGAGAAGCAGGCAGAGAGAGATGGGGAAGCAGGCTCCCCGCTGAGCAGAGAGCCCGATGCGGGGCTTGATCACAGGACCCCGTGATCATGACCCGAGCTGAAGGCAGAGGCTTTAACCCACTGAGCTACCCAGGTGCCCCCAGATAATGGATTATTAATGTGCTCGAACATGCAAGAATAATACATTCAAGAAGTACTCAAGAGAAGATAGGATTGAATTTATGAATACTGACTGAGCCTAAACTAAGATAGAATTCTTATATACCAACGGGAGTATTTCAGAAACTATTAAAATAAATAATACACTGCTCACATGAATTTGGAATGCAGACTCTAATGTGGGCTATTTCAAGGACTCTTTCAATGCCTATTTAAAACAGATGCATCTGATTGACTTCAATCATCCAGTCACACATTTAGAATACCAAATCCACATCTTCCAGACAGTGAGGAAGAAAATAAAGTTTAAATTACTCTCTGCGAATGAAGCTGAGACATCAAATAAAACTGGAACTTGTTATGAAGACTCAAAACACACATTTATCCCCGATGAAGAAACTATTTGACACTGGCCAGGTACTTAGACACAGTGACGAGATATAAGACAACAGAACTGAAAAATCAAGAAAGAAATTTCATGAGATAAAAATGAGAAAAGCCTATGAACATAACTGAAAATGAGACCTGTTAGCCTAAGTACATAAGAATATTTTGTAGGACATAAGTCCTGGAAATAATATAAAACATAATTACTGACCAAATTAAAAAATTTTGTACTGGATTTCCGTCTCTTCATTAAATGAGATTTGTTTCCTTCTTCTCTATAAGGTCATCTATCTATCTCTCCATGGTTGAGTATGACTGCCAGAATAAGGTAGGGTTTCAGCATCCGTTTATTTATTTATTTTTTTAAAGATTTTATTTATTTATTTGACAGACAGAGATCACAAGTAGGCAGAAAGGCAGGCAGAGAGAAAGGAAGGGAAGCAGGCTCCCCACTGAGCAGAGAGCCCGATGCGGGGCTCGATCCCAGGACCTTGGAATCATGACCTGAGCTGAAGGCAGAGGCTTTCACCCACTGAGCCACCCAGGCTCCCCTTTAGCATCCGTTTTATTCCTATTTTCTTTTTCGCGGATGAAAACACTAAGAAACTCTGGTCACGAAAACAGTAGCTAAGACTTCTACAGTGTTTACTATGTGACAGGCATGCACTGTTTTAAACGTCTTAGATCCTAATAGGTTAAATCCTAATGACAGTTATACAAAGTCTGTCTTTAGCAACATCTTTTTACCAATGAGGAAACTGATGTTCAGAGAGGTCATGTTTGGTGATCACTCAGCAGAGCTGGGATCTAGGCCCAGGTAACTGATTACAGAGCTCATGCTTCTGGCCACCAGGCAGCATTGCCTCCCTAGGCTGCCATTAACAATGTGATTGGAAGGAGTTTTCTACAGCAATGACATTCAATTCTCTGAACTCCTCCCTCGTTCTGTGTCAGAAAGTCACAAGATGATCTATCATTAAAAATTCAAATTAATGGTCTACCAGCTAACAACCTATGTCCTCCTTTAGTTCCATTAAAAGTAAGGAAATGGAAATCACCATCGTGATGGTTTCTGTTGCTTGGTCATTTGTCCTTGTCAGAATTCAATTCAACATCATGTTTTTTTGTACTTTTGTTTAGAATCCTGAAAACTGTCTGCACCCAAGGACAATGTTTGCACCATATGAAGATTCTAACGGGGCCACTGTTAATAAAGGGGAAAACAATAACACTGGAAAAACGAGGTGAGAAGGGAGAACCCATCCATATGAAGGGCTCTCAAGCTGCGTAATTTTAGGAAAGAGAACCTATGGAATTTATAATCCAGAAACAGTTTCCTTCAGAAACATCCATGTCTACATAGTCCAATACATGCTTATGGATGTGAACACCTCAGTTTGATCTGCAGACTGCTGCCCTGTATCACAGACTTCTTTTTTTAAGGACACTAATTATCTCTGCTGGCTACATGCCCAATGTCAGGCGCCTTTAAATGGAGCAAAGTAGCTACAAGAGCATTACCTGGGAAAGTGATTAACCTTTTGTGCTTCAGAGAGTGTGCGAAGTAAGAAGGGCTTCAGGTGAGATCCCGTCCACATTAGGTTATAGTCAGTGCTGCTTGGGTGAACCTGAGGGCAGATAAAAAGATAAAGGAAACATCAGAGATAGCCTCTCTCCAGAAAGAGAGACGGCAAGAAAGGCCATAGAGATTTCTCACCTACAGAGCACAGTGGGTACCCAGTTAGTATATAAGCCTAATAAAATAAAAGCTGAGTATAAAGAACACGGGGACGATCAAGTTTAAAGAATGGGATAGTTGGGCAAATCTCAAATGCAGAAAGTAGAAAAAATGAATCCTTCTAAAGAAGTCTGTTACGTCTCTTAACATTCTTGCATATCAAAGTATGAGAAGAGGGCTCAACCCCACAACTCCCTTCTCAGGGTGTCCTCATATCCCTGCAGATGATGGATATAAAGTACTGATCAGAACTAAAACCTTGTGGTGACAAACCAACTTAGACTATCAGCCATCCATTCATTAATTCCTAAGAATTCATTTGTCAATTATGTACTTGACGCCTATGATGGGATATGTACCATGTTAGGCCCTGGAGATAAAACAACAGGACAGGATATGAACTAGTAACAGAACTTCCTCAAATACTCTATTTCAAACCTCAACCTAAGGTAAGGGGCTAGCAACTAGACTTTTATCAATTTATCGAAATATCTACAGGGTAAGACTATCCAACATTTTTGTCTGTCCCTTTGATATCAATATCCCAATTTTCCCAATTTTGGGGGGGGAATAACATACTACTTAGTTTCAAAAGACTGCCAGTCACACTACCCTCCCCCCTTACAAGGTGTAGATCCATGACCCAAGCTGGACCAGCCATATTATCTCCAGAATGTGATTCTTCAGGGAAGAAGAGCACAAGGACAGTGAAAGGAGTTGAGTCACTTCTGTAGCAGTGCCTTGAGGAGACAGTCCTGATTCCTATTTCCAGATCCCCAGGATTTGTCCTAGGCTCTCTCCTTCCAAAGGCCCACCTTCTCAACCCTTCCTCTGATTCTGCTACCTATGCTGTATATACCTTACCCACAAATCCTTTTTGGTTTAAGTTAGGCAAACTCTGTTTCTGTTGCTTGCAATCAAAGCACCTTAATTAGGTATCAGAGGATCCCTTAGGGGCAAGTCTGTCTCCACCCCAACCCAAAAAATCATAGCAAAATGTTTGGGCTTTTGTTTGTTTAAAAAAGAGAAAGAAGAGAGAGAGAGAGAGAGAAATCTTGTGAAAATGTTTTCCATGTATGTCAAGAAAAACTGACAAAGCCACTCGGAAATCCAGTGCAGGCTCTGCATTATCACTAAGCATAGGTCCCATGAACCTTCTAGAGCTGCCCTCTTAACCGGTAGTCAGGGGGCTAGGATTTTCAGCTTTGGAGCAGATCAGGTGAGATAGTAAAAATGAACTTACCTCATGAAATCCATGGGCTGTCAGAATGCTGCGTACCAGGCGACTATCTGTTCGCACAATTTTGTAAGACAAATGATAACGTTCTAAAGAAAAACAGAGTCAAATTCGGTAACCAGAAAGTTAATTGTAGAGACAAAACTAAACTGTGTGACTTAATTCTTAATTATACTCAAGAATATATACTGCTCCCCTCATGCTATGATGAGTGGGCTGCAGATCATTTTGGACTAAGGGTTCTTAACGTGAGGTTCACTGGGGGTTATAACATCTTCGTTTCCACTGCTAGTCTACATTTTACATGACCTACAGTTATGAATGTAGGCATAAAAGAGAGCAGTGGTAGCAAACTCCTGTGACCCTGCCTCCTACATATACTAGGTGTTTTAATATTATTTTACAGTTGTTACGGTTATCTCACAATATCACTTCTCACAGTATTTAGAAGTTACCGTTAATGAACAGACCTTCCACAAGATCATGTTATTTAATGCACAAATAAAAATGCATATATGTCACAAATTTAGCTTCTAAGAAATATTTTGGTAATTCCATGTCAATACAATTGATTCTGTTTATAATCCTATAGATTTCTTTATACACTTAAAACACATTATTCTGACAACAGACCTACCGGCTTCCCCACCCCTTACACATTTGGTCCACTGCAGAAGAAGGCTAAGAACCCCTGCTCTGGACAGCCCTCTGTGTGCTGTGATGCTGCTTACCAGTGTATCTTAGGCCAGAGATTGCAAACTGGTGATCCAATCTACAGATAGGGTTTGTTAATTTCTCCCTGTGTGTTAACTTCTCAATAAAACTGAATTACCAACCTTTTGAAACTAGAGGGATTTGTGTAAAAATCTAGATTTCTGGGCCCGTCTTGAAAACCCCGGCATTCCTGGGGTAGCTCTCTTTGCCAGGACAAGAGTCAACAGGGAAACACCAGCGCTCTCTTCAGCACAGACTCCGGCACTCTAGTTCAGCACAGTCCCCACCACAGTTTCCTGCCAGGCTCTACAAGCATAGTCACTGCTCCCTAAGACAAAAGTCTGTAATCATGTGAGATTTCTACATATCCCCAAAGACTAACATTTATTCTGGCCCCTTAAAGGCAATATTTCTATGCATCCCTTCAAATTGAGAAAATTAGCCAAAAATTCTACTGAACAAATTTTTTTTTTTTTTTAATGAGGTAATCTCTATGCCCAGTGTGGGGCTCAAACTCATGACCCTGAGAGTCACAGGCTCCACTGGCCAGGTACCCCATGTGCAGAACAACTTTTTTAAAGGACTACATATTGAACACTTTCTGAATGAGAATAATACAGAAACTTATGAACAGGCCTTAGAACAAAATTCAGCCTCTAGAAAGAGACACACACCTTTTCATGAATTTATGTGAAAATCTCCATAAATCCCTGCTGCTACTTGCCCAGCCCTGGCAGGAACACCATGCAAAGCAGACACAGGAAGAAAATAGAATGAAAAGGCCAGACACTCCATACTTCTCATTCTTGTGGCAAACTTCTAAAGCCCAGTTACAGGGTTTCCCCAGTGATTAATCACTATTACGTTGCCTTTGCAATACTATCATAAGAAAAACAGTTTAGAGTCCTCGGTGTTGGTTCCGGCGCAGAGTAGAAGGTAAGAAACAGTGCCCTGCTTAAGAGTTTGTCTTGTGACTCCAAGGTGGGGAGGGAAAGCACAAGACAGGCCTGAGATATCTTGTTCTGCCAAGAAAGAGGAAAAGTGCTCAAAAATGGATATGTCACAAGGATGCCAGTGGCCAAATTTAAGACAATTTCAACACAGATATGAATATGACAGAGATAGACTACAATTCCCTTACCAATGAGTCCACACTGATAAGAAGGTAAGGTTTCCTGGTTTTCTATCACTGCTAAAATAAACTACCACACTTGGCAGCTTAACCAATATGTCTGATATGACTGTCAACAAGGCAAGACTGGGGCTGCACTCTTTTCTATAGGCTCTGGATGGGTCCATTTCTACTCCTTTTTCAGCTTTTAGAGGCTGCCCCCGATCCACGGCTTATAGTTTACTTCCTCTATTTTCAAAGCCAGCAATGGCAGGTCTAGTCCTTCTCATATAGCATCTAGCCTCCTCCTACTTTTTTTTTTTTTTTTTAAGATTTTATTTATTTGACAGAGAGAGAGAGAGCACTTGCGCACTAGCGGCCAGCAGAGGGAGAAGCAGACTCCCCACTGAGCAGGGAGCCCGAAGCAGGACTTGATCCCAGAATCCTGGGATCATGACCTGAGCCAAAGGCAGACGCTTAACTGATGAGCCACCCACTGAGGTGCCCTGCCTCCTCTTACTTAAAGGGCCCTTGTAATTAAGGTCAGCTGATTAGCAACCTTAATTCCACCTACAACCTCAATTTTCCATTGCCATGTCGGGTTCTGGGGACTAGAAGGTAGAGATCTTTGGAAGGACCATTATTCTGCCTCCCATGGAAGGGAAAGCTCTTCTTTACAGAAAATCCAGCTAATAAATACAAAAGGAAAGAAAGAGAAAATCAGCATTTTACAAAAACCATAAGAGGAAGTAGTTCAGACCAAAACCAATGGATACCCATGGGTGAGAGACTATTGGGAAAGAGGATATCCATGCATCTCAAAACATCACTCCAGAGAATGCTTGTAACAAAGAAGAAAGGCACCCTTCCAATGAGCCAACCTGGTGAACAATATCTCAACCAAATGATGAAATCTGCCATCACCAGTAATACAGTACAATGACATCACATCCTTCCTAATGTGATACACTGAGGAGGACACAACTGCACTAAGTGATAGTCTTACAAAATTTTTAAACCTGAGTCTAAACACACAGAAACAATCAGACATTCTCAAACTTAAGGACATCTGCAAAGCAGCTAGTTGGGAAATCTCTAAACATGTCAATGCCATGAAAGGCACGCACACACACACACACGCCCCAAGTCTGGGGGATTAGAAGAGAAATATGAAAACTAAATATAATCTTTGATTTAGTCCTGGATTCTGGAAAAATAATAACAGCTATAAAGATCAAAAGGGGGACAAATGGGGTAATGCGCATAAGCACTGTATGCCAGAGTATCTCACCAATGGCGGATTTCCTGAGCGTCACCGTGGTACTGTGGTTATGCGCAGGGTGCACCTGAGCTTAGGGACACACTGCTGAATAAGGTGTTAAATTATGAAGTATCTGAACTAATTCTCAAATGGTTCAGAGAGAGACAAGAAATATGACAGAACATTACCAGGTGGTGAGCGTATGGCAACAGTATACACACATTCAATGAATGTACTATCCTTACAGCTTGTCTAAGGGTTTTTAATCTTTTTAGAGTGAATGTTTAGAAAGTGAAAGGAAATCAGGACTCTTCATCATGATAACCACGACCACTGACATCTCCATTTCTGCACATGCAAAAGCCAAAAGCATCATCCGTGCTGGAGACCAGAAGTGTACCTGATTCCACGCCTGCTCAGCAATGCTCACCTCGCAGTGCCAGGCCATAGGGAAGGGAGTCACTAAGGCAAGCAGAAAATCAGAGAATGATTATCCAGGGACTGGGGAAGAAAGGGAGATGATAAGAGAAACAATATATCTCTGGAGTGGAACTGCCAAGAGCTCAAATCCTGGCTCTACCACTTCCTGCCTGTAATTGTGAATAAGTTATTTCTCTATGGTCAATTTCCCCCCTTCTCAAATGGGGTTGATAATAAAGGTACTTACCTCATGGGGTAGGAGTAAGCACTGCATCAATAACCAAGCGTAAAACTTTTAGAACATTTGTTGCTGTGTAGTAAAAATTTTTTTTTTAATTTAAATTAGCCAACATATCATACATCATTAGTCTCAGGTATAGTGTTCAACGATTCATCAGTTAGTTGCATGTAACACCCAGCGCTCATAGTAAAAATTTTTTTTAAACAGTAAAAATCATCTTAAAAAAGTAAATATGTGGTAAAAGAGCCATAATATATAGTGTCATGCATAAATTATGCATTTTACATAGCAATTTTAAAAATAAAAATGCTATTAATACTTTTTCTCCTGCTTTTCCTAACATAGAAGAAAAATGCAATTATCACTGCACTCAATGACCCAAGCAAGCAGTGATCAACTACTTCTAATCCATACCAACTAGCTATAACCCAACTCTGATACCCTGTGCATGTTTCAAAAGGGGAGTGCAAGAAAACCAGGGTGGAATGACATAAGGCAAGTGTGATTGCTGGGGATTTTAATGCACATTCATGTTCTGTGTCCAGCAATGCTGATAACCAGTTATAAACTAGTGACCCAAGGCCCAAATCTAGCCTGCAGACATGGTTTGTTCATTCTTTGTGGTGTTTTAAATTTAAAACCGAATTAGTCACTAATCTTTTAAAATTGAAAGAATTCATATAAAAATCTCGATTTCTGGGCTTCACTTGAAAGACCTGGCAACCCTGGGCTCTGCTCCCACGGCAAGAGTTAAATGGAGGCTTTGCGACTATAAACTGAGTGGTCCCACTGCCCAAGAAATAACCACCTTATCCATATTTCCTTCCATATAAAAACAAGAAGCAGGGCATGGAACTGTCTTGTTAGCAAACTGCCAAACATCTGCTATCTGAGCCTCCGGACACACTCTGCATCGATTCCAGGAGATTACAGAATTTCCTCCTCTCCAACCACTCCCATGTGCATCAGAAGGCAACCTAAAGCACCAAGACTCCTGGCAAATTCCAGGACCAGCAGCAGCAGGGTGAACTAAAACAAGGAACCAATAATCTGTCAGCACAGAAGCACCTAGGGAGTGATGAATGCCCTAAGAGGTCTGGACAAAAATAACCTGGGAAACTAGAATGAAGATAAAACAGAATTTTCTTTTCTTTTTTTTTTTTTTAACTTTTAGAATATAAGAATAACCCTTCTAATGACAAGAGAGTATAGCTTTGCCTGTGTCAGAAAATGAGGTCTAGACCTGCACTGTTCAAGATGGTAGTTGAGAGCCACATATAATTACTGAGCACCTGGAAGGTAAGTAGTGTGGGGCACCTGAGTGGCTCAGTCAGTTCAGAGT